ATTGTCCTAGAAAGAAACAAAAACCAGTAGTGGATCTTCTAGAATCCAAACAAGTACCCCAATCAGAATCAGTAAAACCAGTGAGTTTAAGATCTGAAATAGAAGGAAACAATAATCCTTTTCCAGGAGCATTCTTGATGTACTTCAACACCCGAAGAGCAGCTTGATAATGAGTAGTAGTGGGACAATCAAGAAATTGACTTAATCTACCAATCGCATAGGATATGTCAGGTCTAGTATTGGTTAAATAAATTAGTCTACCAAGCAATCTTACGTATTTAGTAACATCTTCAAAAGCGGGACCAGAATTTTTGTGAAGATGGTTAGTGTGATCCATGGGAGTAGGAGAGGGTTTGGAAGCTAGAAGGCCGGTGTCTCGAAGTAAATCCAAAGCATACTTTCTTTGATAAAGGCAAATACCTTTGGCAGACCTTGCAACTTCAAATCCTAAGAAAAATTTGAGCTGACCAAGATCCTTAATACCAAACTCTCTGTGAAGAACTTGCTTGACATTATTAATCTCATCTAAATCCTCACCAGCTAGAACCAAATCATCAACATAAGTGAGAATGGCTGTGAAGCCTTTAGATGATCTTTTTGTGAACAATGAGTAATCAGCTTTGGATTGAGAGTAGTTTAAAGAAAGAAGAACCTCAGTAAGTTTAACATTCCATTGTCTGCTGGCTTGTCTAAGACCGTAGATAGACTTGGTAAGCTTGCAAACAAGATTCGTGTTCTGCAGTGTAAGTCCTGGTGGAGGTTCCATATAAACTTCTTCATCAAGGGTCCCATGCAAGAAGGCAGTATTTACATCCAGTTGATGTAAATGCCAATTAGAAGCAGAGGCAATTGAAAGTAGTATTCTGATGGTGGTTATTTTCACCACAGGGTTGAAAGTCTCTAGAAAATCAACCCCTTCAATTTGTGTGAAACCTTTTGCTACAAGCCTGGCTTTATGCCTCTCAATTGACCCATCTGCATTATGCTTAATTTTGAAAACCCATTTGCATTTGATAAGCTTTTTTCCAGGAGGAAGAGAGGTTAAAACCCAAGTTTGATTCTTATCCAAAGCCCGTAACTCAGCATTGATAGCATCCTTCCAACAATCGTGTTGAACAACCTCCTTATAAGTTTTTGGCTCAGGCATAGAAGAAATAACAAGGGAATAGTGTTTGTGAGAAGAGGATAATGAATTATAGGAAATAGAAGAAGAAATAGGATACCTGACAGTGGGATGATATGATGAGCCATCTGTTGTAGCCAATGTGCAATGATAGTCCTTCAAATAAGAAGGTGGTCGTCTCACTCTTTGAGATTGTCTCACAATATTATTTTCGAGCATTTTCAGTTTGTTGTGATTGGTGTTCTATATCATATTGATGATTATCAAACAATTGATTATTATTATTATTATTATTATTATTATTATTATTATTATTATTATTATCATTATTATTATTATTATTATTATTATTATTATTATTATATGAAATATCAAGTGTTTGGTTTTCAAAAGAAAAAGAATCATCAACGGAAAAATTTTGTTGAACAAGGGGAACACAAACATTTGCATTAGATTTTTTATTGCAGTTGATTATCATGGGAAAAATTTCTTCATAAAACAAAACGTCCCTAGAAATGAAAGTTTCTCTATTTTTCAAATCATAAAGAACATTACCTTTTGTGCCAGTTTTATATCCTAGAAAAATACATTTCCTAGCTCTTTGATCAAGTTTCGTTCTGTGAGATTGAATAGTTGAAGAAAAACACAAACATCAAAAAACTTTTAATTCAGAAATCTCAGGTAGTTTGTCATCATATAAGACTTGATAAGGAGATTTGTTTTGTAAGAACTTAGTAGGCATCCTATTGATAAGAAAAACAGCATGATTAACAGCATGATTCCAAAAAGATTTAGGAATTCCAGATTGAAACATAAGATCTTTGGCAGTTCCTAAAATGTGTTGATGTTTTCTCTCTACTATACCATTTTGCTGAGGAGTTTCAACACAAGAGTTTTGATGTAAAATACCTTTATGTTTAAACCATTCATACATATTAAACTCCTTACCATTATCTGTTCTAATTATTTTGACTTTCTTGTTAAACTGTGTTTCAATTTGAGCAACAAAAGATTGAATAAGAGATGGGGTTTCACTTTTCTGTTTCATGAGATAAATCCAAGTATATCTAGTAGTATTTTCTACTATGGTTAAAAAATATCTATGACCAAAAATTGAAGGAAAAGATAAAGGTCCCCATATGTCTATATGTAGCAAATCAAAAATCTCAGTACAGGCATTAGAACTATTAGCAAAAGGAAGACGTTTTTGTTTAGCTAGATGACAAACTTCACAAGGAACTTTGATTTTATTGCATTTTATAAAAGGGTACATAGTCTGTATGTGTTTGAGTTTCTCATGAGAGAGATGGCCTAATCTTAAGTGCCACACATCATTATTGTAACTGTAAAAATTGTTTACGCATTTATCAAAAAATTCTGGCTGATTTGAAGAACTCATGGCGTATAGGTCATTCTGTAGGTTAGTTGCACCAATCATCTTCAAAGAATTGTTGTCCTGAATCTTACAAACAGAATCAGAAAAAATAAATTTGCATGAAAGGGTCTTAGTTAACTTTGACACAGAAATAAGATTGAATTTGAAAGTAGGAATGAAAAGAACATCTGTCAGGTAAAAATATTTAGAAAAAAAAATTGTTCCAGACATAGTGGTAGTAACTTGACTCCCATCAGGTAATTTTATATGAATGGGTTTGATTTTTTTGTGTGTTTGAAAGTTAGTAAGGGAATTACACACATGATCAGTAGCTCCTGTATCAATGATCCAGGAGTTGGAATTGAACAAGTTACAAATTATACCCGATGGTTTTGAATCAAAATCTTGTGTAATGGAGATAAGGCGATTAAGCGTGTGATTGTTCTGGATTTCAGATTGTTGAAGGAGTGCTAACAAGGCCTTGTGTTGGTCCGGAGTAAAACTCAAATCTGAATTCTCTCCAATCTCCCTCCGAGATATCATGCTTTGTTTATCATCTTTATCAATATCATAATTAGCCATACAATTGTTAACAACAAAATTCTTCTTGAGATGTGGGGGATAACCATGTTTTTTATAACAGGTATCAATAGTGTGGCCAATTTTCCCACAAAAAGAACATATCTTTGGATTCTTTCCACCTTGATCTCCACCAACAAATTGTGAATTATTCTCTTTGAAATTCCGTTCTCCGAAATTTCCTCTTCCGAGTTCCACCTTTGTAAGTGGCCAAAATATGTTGATTACCATTAGTAATATTGAGTTGTCTTTCTTGTTGAACTAACAATGAAAAAACTTTGCTCATTGTTGGTAAGGGATCCATGAGCATAATTTGTGATCTAACAAGTGAGTACTCGTTCATTATGGCCTTTCAAGAATCTAATAACATAATCTCCTTCTCTGTAGGCTCTTATAATGGGTATAAGTCGACATTCACATCCGACTTGACATGTGCATTTTGGTATGGGTCCGAAATTTTCTAATTCTTGCCATAATCCCTTCAATAAAGTAAAATATGCGATGATGAGATAACTCACCTTGTTTTAATGCATAATTTTCTTCTTGTAATTCGATATTCGAACACATCACCTTGATAATATCTATCACGCAAATCATTCCATAATTCCATTCTTGTATCCATCCAAAGAACACTTTGAATAATTTCTAGATCCAAAGAATGCATGATCCAAGACAACACCATGTTATTACACTTGTTCCAAGCGGGAAGCATAGCATCACCATTTTCCGGTTTAAGTAAGGATCCATCAACAAATTCCAACTTATTCTTTGATCTTAAAGCCATTGTCATAGCTCTAGACCAAGCATGATAGTTATCTCCTTTCAGAATGATAGGAACAATAGAAACACCAGGATTTTCATTATTAGGCAAATAATAAGGATTCAATTGATCCAATACGAGACTTGCCATTTAACAAAAAAGAAAAAAAAAATAGTAAGCAACAAGATTGCAGATCTTTGTATGCCTTGAAACAAGAACAATACAGAATACCTTCAAGATTCAAAACCAATCTTCAAGAAACCAATCATCTTACCAAGCTTGTAAACGAGTTTAATACGCAGCGGAGCTCCCTAAGAAAGGAGTTACGATACCATGTTAAAACTCATGGTAGAGAAAAAAGAGTAAAAAGTGCACCAACATTCTTATGCAGAAAAAAATACTTCATATTATTGAACTCATGAATAATATACCAACATATTATATATATATATATATATATATATATATATATATATATATATATATATATATAATATAAAATAACTAGCTAAGATATAAAGAGAATATAAAAACCTAACCTAACTAACTAACTAATAAACTGTAACAATTTAAATGTGTAAATTATTAAATAACAAAAAAATAAAACTTTAAATATAAGAAAAGTATAAGATCAAATAAAAATATATATAAAAAGGAAAAAGAGAAAACATGGTCGTTATTATTTAATTTTGAAGAAATGTCAATTCAGATGGAATGTTAGTTTCCCTCGTCCTCATCCTTAACAGCTCATCTTTGTTACAAACACAGACCACTTTCTCAACACAATAAACTTACGCCGAAATTTTTTCCAACAACGTGTGGACGAACTCAAATCTCAAATCTCAAATGCAAATTGGCTTCTTTTTCGTGGCCCAAAAGTAACTTTATTTTATTTCATTTTATTCGTGAAGTCCTTTGCTTCAACCACTTATAAATAAATGAAATATATTTACGAGGTTAGCGTTAATCAAAAATTTGATTCTGAAGAGAGAGAGAGAGAAAGAGGGTACCTCCGTGAGAGAAAGAAAGCACATAACACTAGGGCATGCCTCAAAATTTGTTACAAATACAAGTGTGTCATATAAGTTGCTTAATTGAGGATTTGATTTCATTTATTTAACTTGGTTGGTGTCTGTCTGGAATTGGTGTTTCAAGTTAAATCAATGTCTCTGTTTGCTGCATATTCCATTTGTGAAGTTGCCAAGGATGCAGCTGGGGTTGCAGGTTCTTTCTCTTTGATGATTGTTAAATTTAAAGAAGAAAATGTCAATTTTCTTTGTTGATGGTCACATTTGACTATATTAACTTGCTTATTTGCAGGAAATGTCTTTGCTTTTGGCTTGTTTGTGTCTCCTATGTAAGTTTCATCATCGATTTTGAAGAACTGTTGACGTCAGAAAATTTTTTTGTTCATTTGGGTTCATGGTGTAATTCTTGTTCTGTTTTTAAATTGTAGAGCCACATTTAGGAGAATTATCAGAAATGGGTCAACGGAGATGTTCTCAGGGATGCCATTTATCTATTCTCTTCTGAACTGCTTGATCTGCATGTGGTATGGCACACCTCTGATATCTGCTGATAATTTGTTGGTCACAACTGTTAATTCAATTGGAGCAGTCTTTCAGTTTGTGTATATAATCCTCTTCTTGATGTATGCTGAGAAAGCAAAAAAGGTTAACTTTCTGATGCTATCCGAATTCGGAAGCTTATATATATATATATATATATATATATATATATATTATATGATATAGGACAAAGTTCAGTGGTTAGTTCTTAACATGTATTTCAAACTGTGGTTGGATAGGTGAGAATGATTGGATTATTGGTGGCAGTTCTTGGCGTATTTGCAATCATATTATTTGGAAGCTTGCAAATAAATGACATTCTAACGCGTCAGTTCTTTGTGGGATTCTTGAGCTGTGCATCTCTCATTTCAATGTTTGCCTCTCCGTTGTTTATAATCGTGAGTGTGCTGTTTCCATCTATAATTTGAGCATTATCTGTTAGGGGTGAATTTACTTACATTACCTGCCATATTTCTCAGAAATTGGTCATTCAGACAAAGAGTGTTGAATTCATGCCATTTTATCTCTCACTTTCCACCTTCCTAATGAGCACCTCTTTCTTTCTTTATGGATTGTTCAACGATGATGCCTTCATTTATGTAAGTTTCTTCCAACTCCTATTTTTATCTATTTATTCTTGAATACCCATTTTAGTTTGAACTGTTCATATTGATGGCTTATATTTGCAGTATAACATGTAACTAATTTACTTGATTTGTAGGTGCCAAATGGGATAGGAACTGTTTTGGGAATGATACAGTTGATATTATACTTCTACTATGAGAATAAATCCAGAGAGAGCTCCAGAGAACCTCTGATAGTGTCATATGTATGATAAGTTCTGCTGAAATGACCAAGGTAAAAGCAAATATTTGATTATGATTTCTGGTCTTTGCCATAGGCATTCTTTTTATGAGAATCCATGCACAATGTGTTGAGATAGTTTTCCTGCTAAATCAATATAGTGATTTAATAAATAAGTATTTTAATCAATATTATTTTGACTTAGTAAATCGGAGTTTCTGATTGGTTCCCTCTCCTTCATGATGTTTTTAGTTTCATTTATGTGGTTGCCTTTTCTCTGCTTGTTACTAAGTAAGAAAATATGCTTTTCAAGAAATTAGTGGATAAAATCCTTGCAGTCAGAGGATGATGTTAATTTCTTCCTTGATCCCTATAAGTGAAACTCATGCTCTTAGTGCCATGATGTCATCGAAGTTTCTTCAACTTCATATTGTAAATATTCAATCTCTCATACAATGCAGTCAAAATTTTTTTCCAATCAACACCAAAATAATTCATATAAGCACGACTGTAATTTTAGTCTCAATTGAGAAAAATTAAAACACTAGTTTCCTTTGCATTCTAAAACATTAATCAAAACCTACCTCAGGTATAAGGAGAGATTAATAATCACACGCAGTTGAGAGTTTTTCTATTGTGTGTATATGTGGGGATGGGGTCAGTAGTTGGTTAATCTTACAGGCAACCCTTGATTCAGATGGTGGCCTTCTGGCCATCTGTTCTACTACCTGATCGATCCTTGTTACATAAAAAGTATGCTTGAGCTTGATTTCGAAGTTGATAATCTATGGTTTATAGTTGAATTGTATGTGAAAGAATTAGCCAGTTAAAATTATGTGGATGGGTGCCCACATAATAAGAGTTTTAATTTGTATGTATAGTTTTCCTGCTAGACAAAATCCTAGTTGACTTGAACCATATCATTGTTATATGTATTTCCAATTTTCCATAAGCTTCTTGTTCTTATTTTTCTGGCTCAACTTTTTCTGGTTTTGACGAGGCCTGTAAGCTATATTTAATATTTAGTAACAAAATGTCATTTAATGTAATTGAAAAGGAGAAGGAAAGATTCATTCAACATAGATTTGTTATTACTGAACGGGAAAAATGTCACCATAGAGCATGTAATCAATCTCTATCTGTTAATACTAGTAAGAAAGGAAACATCATGAACATAAAGTACTACAGTAAATCTTTCAAGTGTAGTTCTTAGAGTGACAGCTTTTTGTTCCTACACAAAACAGATTTCAGGGTAAGAAATGACCTTTGGCTGCTAAATGTGGTCTGAAACTGGAGTTGCCAACATCCCTGTTTGTTTCAATTTGTAGGAGCAATTACTGTTGCATCCTTGAGGGTGACCAGAAGTCGTGACAATGAATAACTTGAAATTATGTGTATCATAGTTACCAGGTACGTGGTACAGGTACTGTGTGTGTGGTACTTGTAGGTATAGATTGTCACTTGTTACATAATTATTACGAGACTTCCCTTGAAGAGAACCTGGTATGGAATATGTGGCGCGGTTAACTTGGTATATTCATGCAAGGCTTGAGGAAGTGAACAATGTTTTAAGATGGACTATTGCAAGAAAGCACACTCCTGCAGTCGTTGGTCATGGTCTAAGCTAGCTTTCCTTGCATTGGGACCATTTCCAAGTTCATCAGATGTTATGTTAGAGACAAATATGTAGTACATGTTTTGAGTTGTTCCATTTTGTTCATCATTGACAACTTATGTACCACAAACATACCTTGTCTCTGTTGATCTCCAGATAGCTATTGAGTCATTGCCTCCCTTTGTTATTAGCTGCTTTATGTAATGACAGAGATAGGAGGAGTCAATTTATTTGAAAAAAAATGAATTTCATTGTCCTAATGCCAAGGTGGTTCTTGGTTACTTATTCGTTATATGCATAATTTAACCTCTTGCTACAGATTGTTGATTTGGTCATAGTATGTATAAATTTCACTATTGGAGTAATGACTGTTAATGACGGTTAAATTTGGTTTACCACATTGGTTAAGGACCTGTCGTTGATGGAGTAATCGTTGTATGTAAAAGATACAACGACGCGTGTTAATTATAAATACCCATCGTTGAAGCATTGTGTCAGGCATGCATATGACGACAGATATGGTATTAACCGTTATTGTATATTTTTTTATTTTAAAGTGAAATATGTTTTAGGCTTTTTCCCATTTCCTACGTATTCAAATATACAAAATCCAGTACAATACAAATTCCAGACATATTTACAGTAATACAGAATCATAACTATATACAATACTTATTATATAGTATTAGTTTTACTATAAAATCCTACAAAAGTCATTATAAATCCTATAAGTATGATTAGTAAACTATCCTAAATGTACAAGACTAATCAGTCAATTATCCTAAGGTTCAACCATATATACAAGTCATGAAACTAAGCTATTGTAATGAATTAATCATGTTATTGAAGTATGTTGTCCATGTGCATCTAATATAATGTATGTATGTTGTCCATGTGCATCTAATATAATGTATGTATGTTGTCCATGTACGTCTAATATAATATATGGTATCTGTATCCAATGTGTCCATAAAAAACTGCAATATGGTAAATAAATTTTCATAAGTATAATTATGGTACCTAATAATCTTAAAATAAATGTTAATTGTCTTACCTGATCCTAACCTCTATCCTTTCCTACTTGGATAATGGTTGTCATCCATTACATAATAACCATATTCATATGATCTGTTACACTATTTCTAAAAATATAGAATTTAAATTAGTTTGTTAGGAATATAAATAAACAAAAATAAATACTATATATTATACCTTTAGATGTAATCATGTGAGTTTTTGTAGTCTTCCACTTGACCTATCGCTCATTATGTTATATCCAGAATAAGTGCTAATAACAATTACACTTAGTTAAAACATAAAAAATATAATTGTAATATAATAATTTCTATAAAAACAACCAAATTTAGTTTCCGAGTATGTTATTTGTTTAAGGTATAACGGTGACTTTTTATGTAATGAACAAAATCATGTAGTTGTGTTGTCAATCATGGATATGACAAGCAATTGTCAATTATAAATATATATTGAAACATAATGAAATTAGTTAAAATTGGAATTGAATAAAGATAAACTATCAAGAAAATTTACTTACTCATAAACATATAGTGTAAAATAAATCATTTTTTCCAATAAGAGACTATTTGCGATGTATGTTTGTGCCTGTGACTTCTTATTACCAAATGATTGAATAAGTTGGGGATCTAAAAATCCATATACTTCATCTTTCCTCTCAGGGATATATACCTATAACAAGTAATATAATAATTAATATTTCAATAACTAAACTACTAAGAACTTTAAATTAAATTACTTACATCATCTACAACTGCATAATGGATATGTTAAGTTCTAGATTTCCTATTGCAATCTCTAACACGCCAAACAGTGTATATATAATGGAATATCATTTTCCCTTCCAAAAATGGTAGAATCTCATGGCACCTCAACTGAATTGCTATTAATGACCCTTGTAACATCCAACAATGAAGACAAAGGGTCATTAGTACTATATTGTTGCTTCTTTTTCCCATTTTTCTGTATCGTGACTGCACATAAATAACATTAATATTAAAAACAATATAATAAACAATAATCAAACATACGATTGTTATTGTCATATCGTGTTATCTGATATAGGACTAACTAGATGTCTAGGTCATGCAATGAAAGTTTGAAGTGTTTGTGCTACAGTAGTAACCTCACCTGTCGGCACGAGTACAATAACACTACCATCACGAAATTTATCAACCATGACCTTAACCAAATGAGCAGGAAGAGACATACTATGTAACATAGTGGTCCCTTCAAACATCTTCCAAATGCCACCAACCGGGGAATCAATGTCTTCAATATAAATCTTACACCTGATAGGATGGTGTGTGTCCTCACACTATGTAACATAGTGGCCCCTTCAAACATCTTCCAAATGTCACCAACCGGGGAATTAATGTTTTCAACATAAATCTTACACCTAATAGGATGGTTTGTGTCCTCCACTGATGGTACATCTACAACAGTTGCTTGTTGGGAGTGCCACATGCTCATCAACTGCTAGTCAAACTGTTGCCACAAGTTTTGTGTCACAATCTCGGTGACCTCCTGTCTGAGCTCCTCCCTTAATTGTGCTCTCAAATACTGAATATACTCCTGACTAGGGCCACTAGATAAGGAAAATGACTTACGTGTTGCTGATCCAAAGAAAGTTTTAATCCCCACACGTACTCTAACAACTCGAACATGACTAGAGTGCTTAGGTCGACCAAGGGCAGCTATTAGGATATCATGCTAACCCTCAAGAGTAAAAGTAGCTTGCGCACATTCCTCAACCAAAGAATCATGTAACACAATCGAATTGTAAGATATATTGTAATTAAGACATAATAAATATTATTAGAAATAAAAAACTAAGTACTTACAATTCGTTCAGTCGTAACACCTGACTCTTCAAAAGTATATTTGTCTAATTTGTTAAGTCGAGCCTACTTTCACTTCTTATGATGTGAAGGTGGAGATGGTGGGTCAAGACTTGAAGCATCTGATGAAGAGGCAGATTGTGCTTCTCTTTCTCGATCACCATGACTTGTTCAAGATTCTGATAACCCCCACGTGACAATAAGTGAGGGGTCATATTATGTGCCTGAATATCTTGTGCTTTCTTCCTAACACCCTGTTACCAAGTACAAATAATGTTATGAACTAGTTAATTATAAGGGTGAAATTTTTTTAGAAATCTTCGATGTCGAAGATAAACTATCTTCCTATCATGTTTTAGTTGCTCATAACTAGTATTTTCTTGACAAATAGGACAAGCTTTATGACCCTTAACACTATAACCTGACAAGTTTTTATATGCAGGAAAACCATTGATAGTGCAAAATAACATCACATGCATCTTGAAAGACTCACAAGCAAATTTGTCAAACACTTCAACCCCTTCATTCCATAACAATTTCAAATCTTCAATCAATGGACTAAGATATACATTTATGTCATTTCTTAGTTGTCTTGGACCTAAGATCATCATAAACAACATCATATATTTACGTTTCATACACAAACTTGGAGGTAGTTTGTAAATAAATAACAAATCAGGCTTGGAACTATGATTAGTATTTAGATTACTAAACAGATTCATCCCATCAATAGCTAATCAAAGTCTAAGATTTCTTGACTCAGCACCAAATTCGGAAAACTCATTATCAAACTCTTTTTTCCATTACATAAAGTCAGCTAGATGATGAATCAATCCATCACATATCCTCTCATTCGCATGCCATCTAATTTTTTTAGTTCCTTTAGGATTTGCAAACATACTCTTAAACCTTGAAATTATTGGAAGATACCAAATAGACTTGGCAGGGGGATCCTTTAATCATAATGTCCTTACTACTGTCTTGATTATTATCATTCTCTTTGTAATGAGATAACCCACAAATTAAACATCTTTTCAGCTCTTCAAACTCATTTCTATATAAAATACAATCATTGAGACATACATGTATCTTTTTATACTCCATACCCATTGGACAAAGTATATTTTTTGCCTCATAATTATGATTGGGTAGTATATTTCCTTATGGAAGCATTTCTTTCAACAATTAAAGTAAGTCAGTGAAATTTTTATCAATCCACTCGTTCATTGCCTTCAAGTTTACCAATCTTAAAACTATTGACAACCATGTAAAATAACTTGAACTAGAAAAAAGTGGAGTCTCTATATTGCTACACATATTTGCATACACATGCGCTTAAGCAAAAGATTCTACTTTAGCATCACAAATCATGTCCTCTAGTCGATCATCCATGGTTGTGTAATTTTTAAGAAAATCGTCATATAAAAGATATTCCCCAATTTGCTCAACACTTAGTAATCTTCCAGTAAGACAATTAACACAAGGATACCTAAATCTTCCACTAGTAGAACTAGTCGAAGTGTTTTGTTGTACAAATAATAAAAATTCTTCCACTCCTTTCTTGTACACATCAGTTATGGGGGCACAATAATCCAACTTTTATCCATTTATAGATTCTATAATACATACACAACTACATAATTTAGTTAATAATACAATTTTCCAAGGATATGACATCCCCAGACTCAACACAAATTCGTTCAAAAATATTTCATATCACTATCAATCATCACAATGTTAACCCTAAATCAATTCATACATTAATCAAGACAGAATAGTTACTTACTAGAGAGGAAGAATTGACTCACAAAAAACCACCAATGTTCACCACCACGAGAGGGAGCACGTTTTAGAAAAAGAGGCTGAGATCAAGAGGGGGGGTGAATTGATCTTAGAAAGATTTTCGCAATTAACAAATTATCTATTTCAAAAACTAAGATTTCAGATCTATTCTTGAATCACACAGGAAGCAATCAAAAAATAAATGCAGCAATAGAATTAAAGAAAAGAAAGGTTTAGAAAGATATCACCAAGGTTTATACTGGTTCACCCAATCCCAGGGCTACGTCCAGTCTCCAGCCAAATTCCAGCTGGGTTCCACTAGATTGAATGTTTTACAGATTACAACCTTAATCTTACA